TTTCATTTCAAATAGTGTTCTTACTGTAGTTAAAGGTGAGTGAAACTTCTCCTTAAATGAACATTTATATTCTTCCCTGGTGGAAAAAAAAAAAAGATGAAAAGAACAAGTATTAATCATTAAATCTTGGTAATTAATTGTATGGTAGCAAAAAAAAAGGAGGTACTTTTCTTCAAGTTTGATAATGAAGAAATCTTTAGTATGGATGTTGTGAAGTTACTTTGCAGTTTTTGTCATTTTCACAAAATTTTGATGTGTTTGTAAGAGCAGATTATTGGTTTGGGAAGTTTTACTTTAAAGAGATTCCTGTGAAGAATGTTAATTCCCTTAAGAAAGGTCAGAAATATGCTTGTTTCAGCAAGACTAGAGATTTTTTGGTGGTGCTAGGGAGAAGAGAGCCAGGTCTAAGGGGTAAGGTGGAAGAACTCTCATGTTAGTCAAGGCTGGGGACTTTAATAATTATTAATTTCAAGTGTTCTAAGCTGGTTTTTTCCTTTCTGATTTTCTTCCAATAGAACTTGAGAAAATTTTATTTTACTGTCACATAGGAGACACCTAGAAAAGAAGAAGTTTTCCTGCTTGACTGTATTGATCTCTGTCACTGAATCAGTGCCTTCTGCAGCCAGGTGTAGATTATTTTCTGTGATGGGGTTTGTGATGGAGTCCTGTGAACTCTTAGTGTTGGAATAAAGCCAGTGAGCATAGTTTACTGCAAAAATGGGCTCTGGCTGCCACAGCTGAGCTCAAGGCTGCAGTGTAGATATGTGAAATAAAAATCATTGATGCCTTCCTCAGTTGGGTGGAGACAGTACAGACTTTGAGGTATCATGTTGATCATAGCCTGGAGATAGGGATTGTTTGGCTTTTTATTTTTTGCCTTCTAAGTGAAGGGATGTGGAGTGTGCTTGTGGTTGCCTCAGTGTCAGGGAAATGCCACCTGTCACTGGAGCCTGTTGTACCTGGTGACAAGCAGTTGTGCAACGGACAGAGAGGGAGTCTTGTGAGTTTGGTGGTTTTCTTGATCTTGGTACATGGACTGTGGACATCCTGCTTAGGAGAGTAGAAAAAGGATGGTCAGTTTAGTGTCATCACTAAAGGGTAAAAAAAATCTGGCTTTCAGTATAATTTTATTCTTAATAATTTAATCTACAAAGGAACCTATCTGTGTGCTCCATAAACTTTTCAAGGCCTGGCCAGTTGTGAGGCAAAATTAAGGTGATGGGGAATTTGTAACAGGTTTTTTAATTTTGCTACAAATTCCTGGTGTAGACACAACTGGTACAAAGTAACTGTGCTGTATCTCACAGATAAAAAGCAGAGCCTGTGTGGTTTTTTTTTCCTGAATGAATTCACCAACAAAGCTCCTATTAGCTGAACTATAACACATTCAACACTTAAACACATAAAGTGTGCAGACTGAATCAATGTTCAGAATTTTGTCACAACAGGCCCATTTTGGTGAAGTATAAAACTTGTCTTTTGCTACTTTGTACGGCTGTCTTCCAAAATGGGTATAGATGACTAAGAGCTGCTGAAGATCTCATCTTCTTGCATTGTGTGGTAAATGAAACACACATCCAACATAATGGTTTTTATCAGGAGAATTGCTAAATCAAACTGTATATACCCTGGATGCTTTTGGAAATATTTTCTTACAGTCTTGGAATTTAAGCTATGATGGTACTGATGATATGTGGAAATTAAAGCTCATTACATCAGTTTTCACCACAGGAGGAGAGACCACATCCTGTTAAATGTCATATGACTTACTTATTTTTTACAAATAATGTCTTAATTGCAATTTCTAAGTACTTTTCCATGATGGTGTTTGATGCAATAGCCATTTCTTGGTTAAGCTTGTGAGTTATATACATTGTTTCTTGGTCATAATTATGTTAATTCAGAATTAGAGGATGGGTTAGATGGGGGGAATGTTTATCTGCTGTGTGGAAAAGAATATGGCAGGGCAAATCAAATCTCACTGTTTTGATTCTGATGGTGAATGTTTGTTTGTTTTTTTTAACATTTTCTCAGGAATCACTTTCTCAGGAAAGGCAATCTTAGATTCTGGTCACTAAATAGAAATCCAGATTGCAAAATTTCTGTAGAGTATTTTCTGCTGACTGCCAAAATCAGTCTTGAAAATATAGGAGGATTTGCTTTAATCTGATTAGTTACAGAAATTGGTTGATTTTGCTAGTAATTCATGGAGGTATTACTTCAAGGATGAAGCCTACAGAGGTTGCATTTTTGAGAGTAAGGGAGTAGGTGGGTTTTGGTTTTCCCCTTATCAAGAAGAGGAAAGAAATTCATTGAAAGAGATCAGAAATTGTTATCTAATCATTTGACTTGAAAAGCAAGGGCTTAATCACTAGGTTTCTAGTTATATATATATATACACACACACACACACACACACACATATATATATATATATATATACACATATATATATATGTATGTGGTTGGGTTTTTTTTTGCTAATACCTTGACCGTGGGGACTTTGATGTATACTACTGCATACCTACTTTTCCATCATTTAATCTTTGAAATGGAATTGGAAAATACTATTAGTTACAAATAACAATGGCAAACGTAGGGGGAAGTTTGCCATCAAGCTAAGCCGACCTATTGACTCATTACTGCTGAAAAGGGATGCTGCTGCCATGCTTTACTGGTGGTGTAACTCTTCCATCTCTTGTAGCTTCAGCCTGGTTTAGCTAATCTCACCATCAGCTGTTGATAAAATCTGTGGAGGCACTAGAGATGCATGCAGTCTCATTCAAGTAGTTGTTCTCTCTGCCAAAATTTAGTGTTTACACCAATAGCAGGTAGGGAATGGTACTGCAACCTGGGAGGCTGGTCAGGCTGAAAAGTTTTCTTCTTTTTTTTTTTTTTTCCTTAGAAGTTTCTTACACAGTGAAGTATGGTTAAAAAATTGAAAAATGGTACTTCAGAGACTATCTCTTACCCCCACCCCCCCCAGTTTTCTATTACAGATGATTTTAATTTTAGGTTGCATTCTGGTTTTGGGGGGGTTGTTTTGGTTTTTTTCTCTCTTGTCCAGCATTCTGGTGTTACAGCAGCTCCTCTTAGGGATATTTTGTTTCTCATCTTAAACAGTGTTTCTGAATACTGTGAGCTTTTCTTGCATACTGTATAATGTATGCATGCTTTTCAACATAGCTTTACCTTCTTCCTTCTTTGGGAATTTAAAATCAGGATGAAGGGAACTGGTCATCTGTGAAGCATTCCAGAATCTCAGTGTGAGGTTAACGACTGAGGATGAATGGAAATGTGGGGAAAGGCTAGCTGGGATGTGCAGGGCGAGGCTGGTCCTGTACAGCAGCAGCCAAAATGCTGCTTTGGTGGGTAATTTCCTATTTTTCTATGTCATTATTAGCAGGTCTTTTTTTATTTGGGTTGTGTTAGTGGGAGGTTTTTTTGTTGTTTTGCTTTTTTTGAGTTTTCTTTGCTCAATGAGTTGGCTGTCAGTTGGGATGAGTTCTCTTCAATAGAAGTGTTGAGGCATTGTTGCTGAGTGTGGTTAGGATTGCTCACTTTTTACAATTGTTCTAGGTTTTTTATGTGTTTGTGCTGGTCTGCCAACTAAAATAAATGCCTTTGTGTGTTTTACTGATGTAAAATAGTTTCTACACAGCAAACTGGAAAAAGAATGCTAAGTTGGTTCATTTGAGAGGCCCTGTAACATGCTCAGCAGTGTTTAGGTCTTCTCTGATTTCATCTCAATTCCCTGCTGGAAATATTTGTGTGTCAAAAGCAGCAGTGAGTGTTGGTTTCAGCAAGTGGTGCTGATCCTGGGAGCAGTCCCTGAAGTTGCTGCTGTGACAGGAGGTTGATGGCCAGCAAAGCAGCTGCTGCACTGAAGGGCCCTGAGAGCTGTGGAGGAGCCATAGGTGAAACAATGGCAGCTCAGTGACACCATCAGGAATAACAGTGCTCCAGGAAGGACTTGAAAGTTGACCTCCTCACCCAACAAGTGGTAATCTTTGCTCATCTTCTGCACCCTAAAACATGGCAGCATTTACATATTCACTGGAATTGCAGACAGCCTGTGTAGCCATCAGCTGCAGGGTGCGGGTGGAAGTGTCGGTGCTTGTCTGTCAGTTGCAAGGGGTTTCAGCACTCCAATTCTTACACGAGTTTTGGTGTTTCAGGAGATCAGTGTGAGTGTGTTTATATGGAGTGTATATAGTAACTAATGGTGATCTCAGGAAGCCACTCTCTGCTGGGAGAAGTGAAACTAGGAGATGGTTTCCCTTTTTTTTTTTTTTTTTACCCCCTCTGTTCTCACATGTTAGGTCCAGTGTGGGATCCACTTTGGGTCTTTTAGCTATTATTGATATAGTAAAGGCCAGAAAAGTCTCTGAACAAATGGTCACTAAAAGCAAATTCCTATGAATATAAGCAGTGAAAAGGTCAAGCCAGGCTTTCCTATGTTTCCTGAGCATGTGCCAGGACAGTTAAAGTAGGATCTTACATGTTGTTAGAAAACCCATTCACCACAGACATCTTTCAAGAGCTCCTTGAGATCTCCTCATTCCTTCTCCAGATGTTGCTCAACTTGAGATGACAGTTTTACCATATTGGGCAAAGCAGTGGTTTGTTTTGTTTTGAGCATCTGAGATGTGAGCAGTGGGTGGACTGGTCACTGTTTTGGCATCCCCAGTGGTGGAACGCATATGTGGACAATCAGATCACTCAGAGGAAGAGGAGAGTTTGCTGACATCCTTATCCACATTCCAAGGCATGCCTTTCATCTGTGCATCTTCACCACTGTGCCAGAAGGAAAAGTGAGGGTAATTCATAATCTACCATTTGTAGGGGCAAAGCTTGAGGGACTTCTGCCTGCATCCCCTGTGTGGTCTGTGAATTCCTCTGAGTTTGGGTATATGAGGTGCCTGCACAGCTACAGTGCTGCAGATGATGCAGCCAAGGAAAGTTTCAGTGGTTTGGTACTCAGGCTAAGTCCTGTTCTGTTTTGTTGGGGTTTTTTTTCCACACAAGAATATGCATTCATGGTATGTGGCTTGTCCATACTAGTGAAATATAAATGATAAAAGACAAATGCATGTTGCTGCATTGCTCAGCAGCAATATGTTGATTTATGTTGCTTAAGGAAATAACCTAAATTTCTTTTTTTCTACTTCTTGCAGTAGGGGCCAGAAATGTTTAACCAAACTTGGAAAATTCCCTTGGATGGCAGCAATAAAACTAATCAGAGGAAAGTATTCATGTCAAAGTGGTTAATGTGGTTGTCTCACCACTTTATTTAAAAGAGACTATTTGACTTGTAAGAAGATCCTTACAAACAATTTTATTGGGTGTTCTTATTAAATATAGGCACTTGTCCATTTGTTTCTCTGGAGCATTGATGGTTTAACTTGTTCATTCTTAAGTGTCCTTTTCAGTGCATCTGGTTCCTTTATATCCCATTTTAAGAATTGTATGGTAATCAAGTTGTCTATGTGTGTACATATGTGCTATGTAGAGAACTGGCCTAATCACACAGGGATGTTCTTGAAAGTGGTTATTCTGATAATTGCAGGTATTAGAAGCTGGATGTATTAGAGTGCTTTAGTCTTATTTAAAGTTCACAGGGATTATGCAGGCTTTTTCTTAAAAATTTGCTTTTATTTGTCTTAAAAAGGTAAAAAAGTCATAAATATCATCTCTCAAATGTATAAAAAACATAAGTTATACAAAAATTTTTCTGGGTTCTGAAAATGTTTTTTTTTTAATACATATTAAATAAGTTTATATCTGAATAGTACCATTAGACAGGAAATAAAATACATAATTTTTTTAAATTATTTCTAAATATTGAAAATATAAATAAAAATATTAAAAACTAATAAATATCTTAAATACAATAAATAAGTTCCTAAAAGGAAATGGGAATGTATATAGATGCTAACCATTGTTACTATTTCTAGTTCTTAAAACAGAACAACACTGTTATCTGCCACCTGACAGATTTGTAACCAAAGGATTGTGCCTGAACTAAAACATTCAAGCACTGAAACTCCTGGTGTTTTTCAAATAGCGCACGGCCCTCACTGTCTTCTCCATAAATGAAGTAAAGTCTCGGAGGATGAGATGGATGGTGATTTTCTCTGTCCAGGCCTTAGTGGACTTCAGCTTTGTGTGGAGGGATTCCTGGGTAGCTGCATCTGGGATGATCACTTCTTCAGGATTGATCACCTGTGAGAAGGACAATATTGGGAGCCTTGGTTAAAGCACTGTCACTGAGCCTCTTGGAGAGCATCCATTTGTGTTTTCCCAGCCTGCTGCATTTTTCCACTTTTTCTGTACTGCAGTAAACAGCACTTCCTGGGACTGTGCTTTCCCCCAGCCCTGTTTCTGTGCAGAGGTGTGAGGAATGCTGGTGCCTGCTACGACTGCTGTGTGGAAATCTGGGCTGTAGTGTTTTGGTTTGAATGCAGCCTGTGGCATCGTGGTCCAACAGGCTCTGAGCAGATCAATACACTCCTCCTGCTTTTTGGCAGTCACATGGCTGGTTAGGTAGGGGGATGCTGATCATGGTTTGTTCTAACCTGCACTGCTCCATCCTGAGTCACAAGTTAATCGGCTGACATTGGAGTACTCTCACATTTTGTAGCAGATTAACAAGTTTCCAAAGATGTCAGACTTGTTTAGCTGCTTAATTCTTACTTTCCAGGCATTTAGTCACATATGAGACTAAGTGCCACCAACTTTCACTGATATGTGGGACCGTAACTACAAGATGAGTAAAAGTTATTTATCTAATGAGTTATTTATCTAATGCTGACTCACAGCACTGTGCACCCAGTACCTAAAGGCCTTTGAAGAACTTGTCCCAAGAAGTGGGACTTTTGAAAATGGGAATTACATACCCAAATCATGGAGCTGTTTTAGGTGATTTGGAGCCCAAAGTTCTAGCAAGTATCTGCTTAATCCTGTGTTTAGGATCTCTCCTACCCTTTAACAAGTGGCAAAAAGATGCAACCTCCTTCTGGAATATCTTTTTTGTGAAATATAAGAGAGAAATATTCTTCCTATCCAGACTACTTGCGAGTGTGTTCTGATCACACCCACTTTTCCTGGTATGCCCAGCTGCTTGTGCACTGGTAAAGTTTGTATCTGGATATCCAGACAGGTATCATGCTGATGGATCTGTTTAACCACAAGTGGTGGATTCTGGCTTTGCTGTCCTTAAATAGCAGCTTTTTCTCTCACAAAGAAAAATTTCCAACCTGAAGTTCAAGGCCTTTTCTCAAAAACTCCACAGTTTCTGCAAGTGCAAGTTTTGGTTTTGGTCACTGTGTTTAATTCTGCCTGTTTTGATTACCTTGGTCAAAAAAAAAAACCAAAACAAAACTAAAGCCCTAAACCCAACAAACCCAGTCTCTCTCAGTTATGAAACAAACTTTCTGCAAACTCATGTATCAAGCTGGAAGCCAGTAATCAGTTGCTGTCTTATGACAGGACTATTATTCTCAGCTAGCACAGTGTGAAAAAAGCAGTTCAGCTTCCTTTCACATAAAGAATGATGGGCATAAGTAAATATGTTAGGAAAGGTATGGCAAACACACAATGCACAATAGGCTTTTCACATGCTGAAAATTACCTAGAAGGAAATAATGCCCCAAGACTTCTGCAGTCCTTACCTGGGTGATTTTTTATCAGGCAAATGCTTTCACCAAAGACAAAGGGATGTGTTCATATTAAGGATTATTAAAATGAGCAAGAACTACATGAATTAAGTAAAGTTTTGAAGTGTGATCTTTCAAAGCTCTCCAAAACATGGAAAGTGTCTGTCAGAAATTAATAGCATTTTAGTTTACCAGATCAAGAGAGAAATTGGTATTTTTGTGAAAGATCATTTGTAAGCAAAATATGTGTTTTTCAGTAGGGAGCTATCTGATATACTGACAGCAATATCTCAATATACCATACAGCTTGGCTTAGAAGTTTGGTTTGGAGGGTTTTAAAGAGAAATAACATTGTAAAAATACACTTGGCTTTTTCTTTTCTTTCTTTCTTTTTTTTTTTTTTTTTTAATGTGGGCTTTAAAAAAAAAGTTGCTGACTTCTATTTCTCAGTGAGTTCCAACATTAGTACAGGCTGAATTGCAGTTCTGCAATTATAAACAAGCTCTCTGAGAAATCTTATTTCTATCAGCTGGTTTAGTATATTTGTTCTTAAAACAATGATGGATTTATGTGGTTTGAAAATTACAACTACCAATAGAAAGCAGGAAGAAGAGTTGTTTCTTTAAGAAAAGAAAGCAAAACTTGGTAAAACCTCTAAGTCATAAGGGTAAGATCTGACCATAAGGAACTGTTACCTATTTTTTCAAGGAACTGAAACATAGCATCCTCTGTTTCACATAGCATCTTCTATTTCTGACTTCACATCAGTATTAAGCCACAAAAATCATGAGGGAATTTAAAACCAACTCACCATCTGTTTTATGATTTGTGCCAGGTGCTCTGTATTGTAGGATAGCGATTCAACATTTTGGTTTTCACTAATAAAAGTTTCTTGTATGTACTTGAGGTATGTCTGAAATGTATAAAGCCCGCTGGAGATTTTTCTCAAGCATTTATCCTGAAATGAGAGAAAGGTGAGAAAGTCAATTTAGAGTTCAAGGTGCCTTGATTGCAATGCTGTGTGCAGGTTAGCAGATGATGCTTCTGTAGTGTGGAGGTCTGGCCAAAGCCAGCCAGAGCCGGCACAAATCTTTAGGTCAACTTCCACAGTTCTTTTGAGCAGGTAGAACCTGCCCCAGGTATACAGGGTTAGATGGGAAAGGAGAGCTGTTCCTTGCCTCATTAAAGCCGGCGAGCAGACACCCATCTTCCTCCGTCACCTTGGGGAGGTTGAGGTTGTTGTGGAGGAGCATTTCCATGCTGTTCTGGCAGACGGTAAACTTCTCGCACATCTGGGGAGAGACACGGAGAGGTTTGGTCGCACCTTGTCAGGCCGGCCGTGTGAGCGAGCGAGCGAGCGAGGGTGTGCTTGCCCGCGGTGCGGCCCTA